CGGCCTGTACATAACCTGGAGCGGATGATGCGTGGTTCAGTGGCACTGGTCCAGCTCTTTACCAGGCTGCCTGGTCTCCCGCCGGAAGACTGAATGGCCTGCAAGTCTGAGCTTGTGCCCGTTCTGCTTGTTCCTACCACATTGGACTCATACGGTATTTGTCCTTTTGGGCTTGACTAACTTCACTCAGCATCCTATCTTCCAGATCTCTCCACAAGTTGAGGTCTTTCATCGTTGTTTTTTAGGGATGTGTAGTATTCCATTGTGTAGGTACCAGAGGGTTTTGTTAAAAAAAAATTCATTCTTCTGTTGATGGGAATTTAGGCTGTTTTTAGCTTCTTGCTATTGTGAACTGTGGTAAGGTGAGCATGGGGGAGCAAATGTCTGTTTGTGATTGGTTTCTTATTTCTTGTGGGTATATATGCCCAGTAATGGTATTGCTGGGTCATATGGTAGTTCCATTTCCATCTGTTTTAGGTTTCACCATATTGCCTTCCATAGCGGCTGTATGTATTTACAAGTCCACCAGCAGTGGATAAGAGCTCCTATCTCACCATACCTTCTCCTACATTTGCTGTTCTCAGTTTTTTTAAAAAAATCAGGCTATAGTAATGAGCGTTAGGTGGTATCTCATTGTTGTTTTGACTTCCATTTCCAGGTATTCCTAATGACCATTTCCTCATGGGTTTAATAGCCATTCAAGTGTCATCCTTTGTGAATCATCTGTTGAGGTCTTCTGCCCACCACCTTCTCCTAGGGCTGTTAGTTTTTTCTTGTTGTAAGTTTGTAAAATTCTGTAGATCTTAGTAATTAGTCCTTAGTCTGTTATGTCGTTACTAAATATCTTTTCCCAATCTGTGGACTCTCTTTTTACTCTTTGAATGAAATATTTGAATGCACACAAGTGTTTTGTTTTTGATAGGTCCCATTCATTTACTTTATCTTCCACGGAGTGTGTTTCCTTTGTTAATTCTGCTAACCCATGAATTCCCTGCACTAGGCATCCCAGCTTTGTCCCCATTTCCTCATTGATGAGCCTGATAGCTTTGGGTTTTACATCCAGGTCTTTGGTCCACGGTGAGTTTGTCTTTGTGCATGGACTGAGATAGGGGTCTTGTTTCATTCTTCTGCACGTGGACATCCAGCTTTCCCAACACCATTTATTGAAGAGGGCATCTGCTGCCGATTTAATGTTTTTGTGGCCTTTTGTCAAAAATCAATTGTCTGTATGTGGATGTTTTTATTTCTGGGTTTTCTGTCCTGATCTACTGGTCCGAGTATCTGTCATTAAACCAGTACTGTTTGACAACGGTGGCTGTATCGTAGGTTTTGAGGTCACGTAGTGCAAGGCCACCTGCTTTCTTCTTCTTCTTGAGGAGCTCTGTGCCTATCCTGGGCTTCTTCCCTTTCCAGATGAAGTTGGTAATCCTTTCTTTGAAGAGCGATGCTGGAATTTGGATTGGGATTGCATTGAATTTGTC